GACACAGCTGTGAAGCAGCATGGTAGGGATGCAGTGAGCAAAATCCAAACTGGGAAACTCTATGATAAAGTACCCAGTTAATTCAACAAAAAGTTGGAAGGAACAAAATGAGATGGAAGAGGAACCTAGAGATAAAAAAATGGACTTGAGAAATCAATTAGTTACAATATGGGGACCTTCTGTCAATTCAAACAAACAGATTATAAAAAGAATTGAGAATTCAGAAAATGTAAATACCAGTTAGGGACATTTGATGATACTAAGAAATCATTATTAGGTAAAAAAAAAACAAGACAAGGAATTTTTAATACACAGCAAATATTGTGTTCATAGAATAGAAAGTTATCAGTAAGTAGGAGGAGACTTTTCAATAATTGGCTTAAAAGCGTTTTCATTAAATGAAAATTACAGTATTTAGACCCATACGTCACAACAGTCACAACAATTCCTTGAACTTGTTAAGACAGGTGAACAGATATGATGTTGATGGGGGAAGAGAGAGGGGAGAAAAGGAATAATTGGCAAAGGGACATGAGAATCAACTACACTGTATATTGATAAATTAAAATAAAAAATGAAAAAATGATATATGAGAAACATAAAAAAAGAAAATTATACTATTTAACTGGTTTCACTTTGCTTTATAAATTTCATCTTCCTATGTGAATTTTTGATTCAGTGTAAAATGTCATAGGGTATTCATGTCTAAATCTCTGTCAAACCATTGATTAATTGCACATTTTTAAGGTATAGCAATATTTACTCAAGGAATAATTAAATCCTTTCTTTTTATTTAGGTTTATGGAAGATCTAAAAGACATGCTGGGTTTTGCTCCCAGCAGATATTACTACTATATGTGGAAATATATTTCTCCTCTAATGCTATTATCATTGCTAATAGCTAGCATTGTGAATATGGGATTAAGTCCTCCTGGTTATAATGCATGGATTGAAGATAAGGTAAAATACACAATAAGGAAGTTAAATTATATAAATAGGTATATAAAAGGCCAATTTAGAGTTTTTTGTCTTTTGGTTTTTTCACAATATTTTTTGCTGTTTAATGAATGATGTTGCTTTTATGCANTATGGAATAGGGTACTTGATGGCAGATATGCCAGATATGCCAGAATCTGATTTGTAGCTGGGGGAAAAAAATCAGTGAGTTTTATTTGGTTCATTTTTATCAGTAAACATTGGCTCCACTAAGAGAAGCATTAGACTTCACTTATCAGAGGGCGATCTCAGGTGTTCCATGGCTGTGATCTTTAATCCTAACAGGATATGTCAATTCAACTAGAGCCTTCCTTTGGATTCTTTGGTTTACATTTTTGCAGAAAGGATTACAGAGAAAGCTTACAATCACTGAGGTCCATGTTTGTCAGAATTTTTAAAAGTACTTTTGGNGTAATAGCTGTATAGAGCAATAGTATCAAAGAATAAGGAGGCACTAATGCTGGGATAAAAGATTAGATGCAGAGGTAACTGAGAATCATGTTGGTGATGGATGTATATTTTGTGTAAAATATGTATGTGAAATGATCTAGGAGTGAGTCACTCAGCACTCTCAAGAATTATGCAGATACTGCATTTTTCTTATGCCGTGTGCCTAAAAACCTACTTGATAATTTATTGTGGCTTCAAGATTACTCATAGTATATTTATATACTTGCAGTGTATATAAATGTATATTAGTACTCTAAGTACTGATTTGAAACTTGAAGCAAGATGGCATTTTATTTCATATATTTCTGTTTTGCTTCTGTTTTATGCNAAGGAAGTTAAATTATATAAATAGGTATATAAAAGGCCAATTTAGAGTTTTTTGTCTTTTGGTTTTTTCACAATATTTTTTGCTGTTTAATGAATGATGTTGCTTTTATGCAGTGATCTTAAGATTGTTTTGTACCCTAAACATCTATGATTTTTTGTATACATTGTGAATTTCTTTAATGCATGGAAACACTGACCTTGTCCTTATTCAGACAGATTTATTTATTAACATTGGTGAGCCAATAATTTTTGGGCTTTTGGCTCTAGAAAACATTAATGAAACTTCCAGAATTATTTTTCCTGCATAAATGTGTTAAATTGTATGCCAGATGCAATATAATAATGAAAATATGCATTAGTCTTGTAAACATTATTTAAAATAAATGTTGAAGTCAAATTTTTATAACTTTTATATTAGTGGACTATTTCAACTTCTGTTCTCAAGCTGCAATAGGCAAATAATAATATAATCATGAGATATATATTAGCCATTATAAAATCAGAGTGCTTATTTTTCAGATATGTCTCTGACCTTTAATTATCCTATGGTCAACAGTTCTATATAATAACAGCTAAAGTCATGACTGAGGCACAAGCAAGTCCATTATCCCTTACCAAAACCCTTGGGGCCAGATGTGCTTCAAAATTTAGGTTTTCAGGTTTTAGAAAAATGATATGTAACAGGTATCTATTGCTTAGTAACAAACTACCCCAAAACTTAATGACTAAAAGCAATGCCAGTTTATTTTTTCTTTCCATTCTTGGGTGAGCTGGGCAATTCTTTGGTCTTGCCTGAGCGCTCATGCAGTTGCAGTAAGTTTGGAGAGCTGGGGGGTCTCTCAAGGTGATCTTTCAATCTTGGCTTCTTCCAAGCATCATGATCTCAGGGCAGCATTCTAAGAAACAGAAGCAGAAATTTCAAGGCTTTTAAGACCTAATCTTGAGAGTTGCTAACTGTCACTTCCATAACTTTCTATTGGTGAAAACAAGTCACAAAGCTAGCCCAGATTCTTTGCTTACAAACCTGAGACATTTTTTTTTATGTAGGTGCAGAGTATATTAATTTTTTTTTAATTTTAACAGGCATCTGAAGAATTTCTGAGCTATCCAACGTGGGGAATGGTTGTCTGTATCTCTCTGATGGTCTTTGCAATCCTTCCCGTCCCGATAGTCTTCTTTGTTCGTCGCTGCAACCTCATAGATGACAGTTCTGGTAATTTAGCATCTGTGACCTACAAGAGAGGAAGGGTCCTGAAAGAGCCTGTAAACTTAGAGGGAGATGATGCAAGCCTCATTCATGGAAAGATATCAAGTGAGATGTCATCTCCAAATTTCGGTAAAAATATTTATCGAAAACAGAGTGGATCACCAACTTTCGATACTGCTCCCAATGGACGGTATGGAATAGGGTACTTGATGGCAGATATGCCAGATATGCCAGAATCTGATTTGTAGCTGG